AGAGTGTAGTTTTGAGACTTGAAGAGACTTCAAGTCTTTCAGTGTCAGTAATATATAAAATATATAAAATAAAAGACAGTAATCCTGCATGGAAGACAGGCAAGGTGAGGTAAGAATTCTGGAAAATTCTGGAAAATTAATGTAGATCCCAAAGTGGAAAGTGGAAAAAATAGCCATTCATATATAACTTGGATTATCACACTAGCAAAGTAAGTATAGACTAGTGATGGGTGACATATCTCCTACTCCATTTGTTAATTCCATAGGTTCATATGACAGCTTGTGTCACATACTAATGCAATTTAACATGTATCTCAAGTCTTGGAGCTAGCAGCTGCTTTGTTCTGGAAAAATTGCCCCTGGATTCAGGCAACTTTAAAGTTGCCTACTCCATTTTCTGCTGACACCTCTCCTGGCATTTGATGTTAAATTGAGGAAATTCCTCCTGTTGCAAGTTCTTCCTGCTCCTTCCCCAGAATACCAGTGGGCCCCCAGGCAGCCACAGCTGCTCCACTTTTTGAGTAAGGCTGTAGGTGACTTTCAAGAAGGGGAGCAGCTGATGCCTTCCCCACTCCACCAGTGTGACATGACTGGAAAGGCAGTTTGCAGTTGCCCTCTTTCATTGTTCCACCTCCTCTGCTTCCAGTGCTGGACTCTCCTTATAGTCTCACTATGTCCCCTGAGTCTCTCCTTATACTTTTCACGTTGATTGAACATTATCACCACACTTAAGTGCTCTGGCAGTACATTTTTCAGTGTAGAAAAATTTAAGTGGTATTACTGGTCATATTACAATGTAGGAGCATTGAATTCTGACTTGGTTTATGGAAAGGAATCCTAAGTATGTGTGAGATGGGTTGGAGAAAGTACCCTCCTGATACCCTTTCTTGTAGGTAGACACAAGCATTCTTGGAACAAATTGAAAGCCCAGAGGTAAAAATTCCCATTTTATATTGAAGATACATAAATGTGCAGAGGCATCAGAGCTACAAGATATTACAACCTCTCAGTTGTGTATCCAAACTCCTTGGTAGGAAGCTGTATAGCTTAGTCTCAGGAGGTTCTGTGTCTCTTGAGCTATTCTTCATATCTAGTCTGTGCTGGCATTACAGGTAAAATTCTCAAAAATGTCTAAACAGCATAGGGGAATTTCTGAGCATTATTTTATTAAAAAAAACACAAACTGGTAATATCCTGTAGTTTCTTATAATTTTGGGTGAGATAATATTTTTTCAGTTCCTTTGTATTTGAAAACAGTAAGGCTGGTATTATTCAAACTTTAAAAAAGCATTTCTCGTTTTGCTCTCTTTAAATGAGTCAGCCTAAAAGGTAAAGCTTGGAGACAGTTGCAACTGCCTGGAGAGAAACCTTTCTAGCATGGAAGGGCTGAAGTGACCTCCATAATCCTCACTCCTAATGCCAGGGTAGCACAAGCATGAGTTTGTTGAAAAATGAACCCAGATGAGCTCTGTGTAGATAGAGAATTATGGTAGAAATATAACTAATTAATTAGATACAATATATTCTTCATAGAAATTTCTTATTAAAAAAAAAAAAAGAGAAAACAGAAAAAAACCCATCCTAATTACTACTGTTGTCTTTTTTTTCATCTTTAGAAATTGTTGATGGCAATGTGAAAATGACACTGGGTATGATCTGGACTATCATCCTTCGCTTTGCTATTCAGGATATTTCAGTGGAAGGTAACAGTAATGCAACCATGTTAAATAATTAGGAAATTTGTTAAAGATATTTTAATATGAATTGTGCACAAGTGAGATGAGTGTTTTAAAAATGAATTATTTTGTCACAGAAAATGGTACTGCAAGTTCTCTCCCTGGTGACAAAATTGATTTCTGGAGGGAAAAAGTAATTACCCTCCTTATTCTGACAGAGACATCAAGACAGCTTTCTAAATGCTGTGGCATGCCTCTCAATTATATAAAGATAGAAACACCCCTGTGTTTCTGAGCGTTGGTGGCCTTACATTAAGCTGTACCCTGTATGGTGTTCCTATTTCCAACATACTTTTTAGTCCTATCCATTTCTCACAGTCTTTGCAAATATTGTCTGGATATATCCTTCTCTTTTCTATCACTTTTTCCCCCCCACTGCTTCAGAATGTTTTTTCTTGACTTTCACTTGGTAACTGACACCAAAAAGTGTGTTGTTACAACACTCCTTAAATCAAATCTATGCTGTGAAAAGTCTGGAATTCTAGAAACTAATCTCAATTTTCAACAAAAGCAGAGTCAATTCAAGCTCTGCATACTGTCCTGCCTATAATTTGTGGGATGTTATATGTGGACCTAATGGTCTACTTTATCTTTTCTTTCCTTTTACTCATGCATTCAGATGCCCATAGGGTTGAAATAATGAAGGAACTTCTTTAGCCCTTATACCTCCCTCTAAGCAAATGGACTGAGACTACAAACATATTTAATGTAGGCACGAACACCATCTTCTCTGTCTAGTTATATTATATTTGTATTAGGTATTTTTCTCCAAATATACATTCTGCTGTCCAACCAATATAATTTCTTAAACTTCTGATATCCCAGGATTATTGTGCAGGCTGAGACTCTAGTCTGGGTTGATACAGTTGAGCTGACGTCTGGGTCCTAATGGAGCCCCATTAGTCCATTTATATGAGTATTTTAGGATTCAGTGTTTGCTTCAGTTTCAAGTGGCTGACCACATTTAAAATTACAAGAAATTAATTACTGGAGCACTTTTAAATTTTTCTTTTTTCTTACTCCCTGGTATCTTTTACAGAGACCTCTGCCAAAGAAGGGCTGCTGCTGTGGTGTCAAAGAAAAACTGCTCCTTACAGAAATGTGAACATTCAGAACTTCCATCTGAGGTAAACTTCCATTATTTCAAGGGACAGATGAAGTCCAAAATATTTTAAGTAAAACTTTTCCCACAGTTGTGCAGGTATATCTTTGACAGGAGAATTTCACTCTTAACTAACTTCACTGTTAACTAGACATTTTGAAATTCTCATGCTCTCTCTCCAGAGTCTTATCTTGTTTAGCCTTTGGCATTATTTACCGTGGATTCCATAGTAACTCTCTAAAAGACAAAAATCCCTAATACATACAGAATGACCATATTACATTATTAGAGGTCCTGGGTATATGGAAATATCTGAGTACTGCAGCATGATGACTAGGCAAATGACTGTTTTTCAGGTTTAGATTGTTCTTGGCAAAAATACCAATGTACTGAGCATGCAAATATCTCATTATGATGAATCAGTCTTTATTATTTTGTAATATAACTATAAATAAGAAGAAAAAATGCACTCAGTACAAAACAGCAGCACTTTAAATGTGTTTGTTTTCAGAATCAGGACCATTACGTACACTGGAAAACTGAGTGAAGCTTCAGCCTTGTGGTTCTATGTTCCCATTAAGGGCTAGAAAGGAAGTTCCAGACCATATGTAGGCTGCCTGGTTTGGGGATTTCACTGGGCTAGTTCCTGTAGCTCTGCTGGTGACTCACCTCCTTAAACTACATGACCTGCCATTTGCACTGTTTAACCATGTGACCTTGGCTTCCCTGAAACCTTTCTAGTACTTATAACAAGAGTTCTGTATTACAGTGTTTTGGTGGTTTGAATTTGTTCTTAATCTGTAGCACCTAAAGCATATGTAGTAGCAGAGATGATATGGTTCACACATGCATCCACAGAAAAAAAAAATTGTTTGATTTGCAGTTCCTGTATTGACTTTAAGAGACCTGAAATTTGTTATGTGTTCTTTTCCTTGAATATAAATAGATATATTTCAGTAGAGCTTTATATGGATGCAGGGTGAGTTGTAAATTATTGTATCAGATTCTTAGTTTGTATGTATACATATGCTGGTCTGATACACAGTATGGGGAAAAAATCTTGAATGTAAGTACCCTGATTAATGTTTGCGTTGATTTGCTCTTACAGAACTACTTTAGAATGAGCTGTCCAGACCATTTCAGTCAATAGCTTTTGGAAAAAAATAATAATAAAAAAAAGGTGGTTCTCATTTTTATTAACTTTTACCTTTTGGATGATTGTATATTATACAACATATGTATATTCTGCTTTATTTTATTACATTTTTATTGGAGATGATTCTGTTAGTTGAAGGATCTACCCAGACATCTCAGTGACAGGGATTCTAACAGTCTTAATGTGTTTAGTATCACACAATTACCACACAGGATAAGACCTCAAACCCACAGTCTTTGTGATTGCATAAAGTGTTTACATAAATTATTCTTCAGGATAATTGCTTCTGGCTGAAAGGAACTTCCTAAAAGCTTTCAAAAAATGTGTAGCTTCATTCATTGCCTATTCTTACCAGATAACCTATTCTTCAGGTAGTGGGGCTGAAGTCACACTGATGTGTAAGAGCTTAGATCAAAGCTGCCATATGTGTGAAGTGTTCAGAGTAAATTAAGCTGATTTATGTATTCTCACTTCTGTGAGCACAACATGGCTGTGCCATTAAAATTGTCTGAAATAACAGACACATAAAAAGCCAATTGCTTCAGCAAATTCAAGTAATTACAGGTTTGCTCTCCTTTTATTTTTTTTATGCTGTAAGTGTAATAGTGGCTTATGCCTTTTCATTGATGAACGTGTACTCTGAGCTATCCTGGAACACTGCACAAATTCAACAATTGAAATCGGGGATTGTTGCACATAAGATAAATTGCTGAGAAGGTATTATGGAGTCCTTAAGAGTCTAAGGACTGCAAAAGTATGATACATAATACAGGAAAAGGAGTACAGTAACAGAAAATCTCAGAGGGATCAGAGTTGATAGAACATAAGTGTCAAGATTTGACAAGAGAGTTCCTGCATTATTTTAAGCCTTAAGCAAGGATCAAACTGTAAAATGCCATGACTTTATTTACTAATTTTTTTTCCATTCTATCTTTTGTTGTAAAGCTGGAAAGATGGCCTTGGATTATGTGCACTTATCCACAGACACCGACCTGATCTTATTGACTACTCCAAGCTAAATAAGGTCATCAGTCTGGGTGGTATAGCATGCTGTCCTGCAGTGATTTGGCTCACTTCTGGTTTGCTTAGCATGTTTTCTAAAAGACAAGCAGAGGAGTGCATACTAATTCAGACAGGCTTTCTAAGCTCTGTCCAGAAAAGAACAGTGGCATGGAGGAAAGGACTGTCCTGTGTTCTTTCCTTTCCATTGCAATGACTTCAGTATTTAATTACAATAATCTGGTCCTCAGCTGCCAGGCAGTTGATGAAGTCTTTTACACTATCCAATATGGGTGTTAAATCAAATACCTTGCAATTCTTCATTCACCACTGACAATATTGTATATTCCATCTTGTTTTGTATCTGGTGTGACTGTAGTCTGCAGAGCAGTAAACAACGAGATGATGGTTAATGCTAAGATTCCTTAGAACAAATACTACCCTTGGTAACCAGGAGTATACAATTACATAGAAAATATTAATCTAGTCTTAAATTATACTTCTACCTATACTTCCAGGGAAGAGTAAACAAGACTGATATGCTGATTTCCATAGGTAGTACCTCACATGATTACAAAACTATTTTATTACAGTGTCCTACTTAAGGCAAAATGCATGTTTTCTAAAAGGTACCGGCCACTTTGGTTTAAGAGGGACAAATGAGGAAAAAGTAATAATGTCAGAATTTCTGGTTCTCATATCTTAAATATAAAACCTAGAAAGAAAATGGAACGTTGCCATTTCAAATTATCTCTCAATACATACGTATCATTTTCTGCTCTTTGGAATGAATGCATCTTGAGGTCCCAAGTAAACACTAGGAAAACTAAAAACAGTATTTTTGAGTGCAACTTTTCATTGATGAGAGAGTTGGATAAATCATATATTTTCCATTCCATGCCTTTCCATTACAAATTTATTTTACTAGTGGAATCAGTTGTTACCAATAAAGCCTTTTATGAGGGAAAAGATAAAATAATGAAATTAAATAATTTGAAAACTTAGTCTGCTTTACATATATGTTAAAATTTTACTGGGGTCCCCAGGGTGTGCAGTGAGGAAAATTAAATTAACATATTCCTAAACACACAAGACTTTAATTGAGACAGTTGTTAAGACAACTGTAGATCTGAACCAAAGGGTGAAATGTAAGCCACCAACGCCAGCTTGTTCTCCAATTCTGTTGATACACAACCTTTCCTACGGATAAACAAACAGATTAATGGAACAACTAAGCTACCTGTCTCTGTGTACATGTGCTGAAGCATTACACAAACAGAATTTAGTTTCATTGAATTTGTGCTTTGAAAAGTGGCACACAGTACTAAAAAACTTCACAGCATAACCCTCCTTTATATGACTGCTGAGAAGAGGGAATAGAACATAGGCAGATCTGCATCAGCATTACTATTTCCCTCTTAGAGGTTTCCAAAATAAGAACAGGTCAGGTTTCAAACTGAGGCTGAGCTGTGGCACGTAAAGCACATGCAGAAAAATCCTAAAATAGATCTTGCTTTTCTGACCTGGCTGTGTTTGATTGACTGCTCATTTTGGTTACTCTAACAGCTGTCTTGGTGTCTTGTTTCTTGGTTTCTTATCTTCTGCATGCTGTCTTTTCCTTTTCTCACCAATGTGTTTTGTGTGAACTTGTAGCTGGAAAAATGGCCTTGCTTTCAACGCCCTTATCCATAGACACAGGCCCGATCTGCTTGACTATGCCAAGTTAGATGAGGTATTTCTTCAGCTATAGCAGAGATTTTTAGTTAGTATGGCTTGTAGTCTTGTTTAAAAGCATGGGTGATGGAGATGTCTTTGAATTATTTAGAAGTTGCTGTGATTTTAAACAAATCCTTTGCCAGTGGAGCACTATTTATTTATGGACTTATTACCAAACACACAAATAGGAGGTGCTCATCACTCATCCATTAGCAAAGTGTTTTAACCTAGTTGATAGATTTCACTTAGATTTATTGTATTTTTTCCCCATTTAATTTCAGTAACAGATTCTGCATACACATATAGTGAATGTATTACGTGTGGTGTCTTGTGTCATAGCAAAAATAAGTTAATGGGTTTTAAATATTGTCCACATTTTGAGTTCCTCTTAATGTTTATGAGGCACAAAACTGCTAAATGATGATAGAGAACTTACGATGAGAGACTGTTTTCTATTATAACCAAATTGTTAGGTTTCAAAAGATAAACTCTTCCTTGTAGCATGTTTTATTGAACATACAGCTTTTAAAGGAAGGGCTATCTAGTATTATATGTTTATAGAAAGACATGTCATGGGCATTACTATTTATGATATCTGGCATATGCTTGTGCATGAGGAACAGACTTCTGTGAAACTTAAGTAATTGCTGTGATTTCATAGAAAGTAATCTTACTAAGTTCACTTCACAGTAACAAAAGAAGTATGCTTGAGACTAGATCCCTTTCTAGGAAGTGTTTGTATTCAAATGGAAGTCCTGTAAAGTCCTGACAGGAAAACTGTTAGTATTTTTTCAGTGCCCTCCAGCATCTCTAATTTTGCTCTTCTATGTCCTGTTTTCCCCATATCTCTCTGCAGATGATGGCATTGTTCAGAGTGGCTATGATCATTTAGCAGTTTGTGAATATGTGAAAAGATAATAGAATTAATGACATGAGCTGCCATTTCACATAGGGTGCCTTAAGAGCAGCCCTCATGTGACATGCTCTTCTGTTGTCAGCAATAGCTGTCCATAATGTAAGACATGAAATGTGTGCTGTTTATCTGAACTGTGCCCACTGCTTCCTTTCCCTTTCCTTCAAAAACCAAACCTCAGAACTAGAAGTTCTTAAATTTCCACAGCTTTAAAATTCAGTCTACAAAGGCATTACAGCTTTGTCTGTCCAAGTCAAAACTGGGAAATTTTGCTCCTTCTGGAAAACTATGCTTCTGTCTGTGCTTGATTCTTCTCATGAATGCACCTGATCAGCAGAGAACTCAGGAGCATTCATATCACTTTGATATAATGTATAGTAAATATAAAAACATGCAGGACTAACTTTGTGGTGAACTGTTGAGTATAGCCTACTGGACCAGTGGCCTTCACTGTATGTTTTACTGCTGCACTTCATACAGAATTAGCTCAGAATGATCAGTGTACACTGCATATATTATCTATGTTCATCTCCAGAATACATTTGCAGCAGAATCCTAGTGGTACATAATAACTTATTGCTGTTTTCTTTTGAAGTAGAGAAGTAGATAGACCAAAAGTTCACATACATATATGCTGCTTTTTGAGGAACAATAGTTTTGACTCCAGTTTACAGTTTGGGAAAACAGGAAGTTTTAGTGTAATTACTATAGTCTTGCTTCAAGGCAAAACTTCTATCTTTCACTAGTTGTATTGTTTTCTTTAATGCAGGATGACCCCATAGGAAATATCAACCTTGCCATGGAAATTGCTGAAAAGCATTTGGATATCCCTAAAATGTTGGATGCAGAAGGTGAGAGTTGTATCTTACTGAAGTCTGGATTACTTTCAAGCAGGAGACAGTAAAACTTTTTTTGTTTTGTATCTAGAAAATTTTCAACATTCCTTCCACATGAATCATAATGGAGCAACCTGCTTTGTTTTCAAAAATGTTTTCCTTCTTTTTCCCCATGTATTGAATAATTTAACTGTTTGCTTCTTTATTTATTGTTTGTTATTGTTTGCCTTTGTTATAGTACTTTGGGCCCTTTGGGCCCTAACCTCAGCATGTCACCAGTGTGATAAATGACATAAAATGTGGGATCAAAAGATAATCCTTGCCTTTCAGAAATTAAAATCTAAGTCTAATAAAGAGAAAAACAACTTTTAGCAGCTTAGAACATTTTCACTTTTTAAAATTTTTAACTCAGAGGGCCAGAAATAGAAGTACAGAACTTTCAAAATATACTAACAACATGCCTCCTATGAAAGAGAGCTAGGTTGAGGGAAGTATTATTTTGGTTTATTTTAATTGTAAACATTTTAAATTATGGATTTAACAAATAGATTCATGCTTGGTTTCTCCTATTGAGTTTGTTGACAAATAACAAGAAATATTTATTGAAGTTTCCTGAATTTCTTCAAGATAACCAAACTTTTGTACTCCAGGCAAAAACAAAACAAACAAACAAAAAAAACAACCCCAAAAAACCTGCAATTTGCCTATACTAGTTCAAAGCATTACCCAGAGCATTCAAACTCACCTTGTCTGCTTCCCTTGAAGTCTTTCAAAAGTGGGAAAGTTAGGCCGATACAAGATGATTTGAAAAATCCAGGTAGTTCTTGGTTTCACTTTCATATTTCACAATTAATTGTTTTTATTTTTTTTAATTGCAAACCCCCTTTCAAGCACCACTTATTTTACTCTGAAATATGGTTCAAGGAATTCCTTACCATTGAACACCTCCTGCTGTCATTCTCCTTTCCTCATTTTTTCTCTTCACATACAATATAAGAAACCTTTTTACTTTCCTCACCAATTTTCTGCACATTCTAACCCTTCTTGACAGGGAAGGGGGAAATGAAATCATGCTTCTTCTAACACCTTCCAAGTATTCACCATGACTTGCTACTCTCTTTAATTCCACAGTGCTCTCAGTGGAAACATTCCAAAGTTTTGTTCACAACTATGGGAAGCAGATGCAGAATCAGTCAATTCATTGATCCTGAAGTCAGAAATCTCATTCTTTATACTGGAAATTGTTCCAGCATTCCCAGATCTTTTCACACCTGTATCTTCCCACTTCTTACGTTGGCAGGAGTCCTTGCAGCCTGCATTAGCATCATTCATCACTCACAGCTATAATTGGTGTAAAACCACCTTTTTCTACCCTTCTCTGTTAATTAATGAACAGGTCCATTTTTACCAGTGTAGCCATACATTGGTTGCACCCTCCTTATACTTTTACTCTTTCCTGCCACAACAGAGACAAAGCCATCAGCCAGCCAAGACAAACTCTGCTGTGATTTATGCTATGAACTAAAAAGACAGGCTGGTGCAGGGATTGCAAAACCATTACTCTCCAAGCTTTTCTTAGAAAAAATGTATTTCTGGCCTGCAGAAGATCTACAGGTTTCTAGTATATGTCAATACCCTGTTAGTCACAGGAACCCTGTTCTAAAATACGTTGTTGTCACTCCTATTTTGTGATTGTCAGTGGCTGTGTTTAACTCTGTAATAAATCTAGTGATTTAGAAAAAATTTCTTAGGAGCGACAGTGAAGCTGAACCCAATAGATCTGCCAGCCATGCCATCTGTTTGGATGGAATCTGATGGAATTGTGAGAATTTCTGAGCAGTTAACCCTCTTCTCTCTACACAGATGTAGTAAACACTGCCAGACCTGATGAAAGAGCCATTATGACTTATGTTTCCTGTTACTACCATGCATTTGCTGGTGCTCAGAAGGTGAGATTGTGGAAGATGGATCAGATCTCATCCTTCACCTTCTGTCTTGTTTCTTTCAGCAATTTTTCCCTCTTCTGATCTTTTCCTCACTAGTTACTAGGACAGCATCTTAGAGCTGAGCTCATTTCCTGTTGCCTGGTTGTCTCTGTGAGCCACTGTCTCGCTAGAGCCAGTAGTAGTCTATCCATTTGTTCCATAGAAACAAAACTTCCTTCCTCATTTTTCTGTATATTTGCTAATAATATCCAGTAGGTTTTTGACAGTTAGTTACTGAATGGGCTAGAGGACATAATTCTCTAATTGAACTTATGTGCATTCATTTGAAGTGCCTTTAAAAATGCTAGATGAGAATAAGCTCACAGTGAAAAGCAATTTCAGTAGCAGAATGCCATCCTTTTTCCCCTGCTGGATATTATTCCTGC